AAAAAAAATCAAATTCTTATCTAATATATAATCAAATCAATACAGATCTAAAAAAGTATAACTATAGCGAAATAAAAATTGATAGAAACACATGAAATTACAACTTACTGTTTATCTATGTTGTTTTTTTGGATTAGATTGCTGAATTTTTGAAATCGGGAAGAGAAATGGTGGTTCGTCCTCAGTTGATCGTCGCTGCTGCTGTTGCTCGCTTCTTCTCTTTGTGTAACTGCTGCTTGTGTTGATAGCGTAGGTATAAGTTATACCAGAAGGGTATTTTCGTCTAGTCAGGTATAAATTTTTTAAAAGAAGTGGCTAAAGTCTAAATACATTGAAAGCAGTGGCTTTAAAATAAAAGCCACAGCTTTTAGTGGCTATTTGTGCCGTTCGCCCGAATAATGTAGAGATAAAAATGGATCCACATTTAGAGCCCGTTTGGACATAAGAATTTTTTTACTTTTTTTTTTGAAAAACTTTTACTTTTTTTCGAAATCAATATTTGGTCATAACTAATGAGGATTGAGGTTCTCTTCGTGCTTAGCTAGCGAAAATGACAGCAAATTGTTGGAGGCTGGAGCAAACTCCTTATTAAGTGACAATCGCATATTGTATTTTCAAGCACAGTGAGTACGATACCGTTAGAAAATAGAAGGAAAACTATCGTGATATTAAAAGAAAAGGTTAAAACTAAAATTCAAAAAATTAAAAAAAAAAACATATCCACTAAATTAAGTACCTTCTAAGTTATTCAAACAGAAAATAAAAGAAACAACAACAGCAACAACAACAAACCCAGCAGTTTCTCACAAGTTGGGTCTGCGGAAGGTAAGATGTACGTAGCCTTACCCCTATCCCTGGAAGAGCAGAAAAGGTTGTTTCCAATAGACCCCCGGCTAGAGAACGGAAGCAGAAAATAAAAGGAAAAAAAACTGTATTTCATTAATATTTCTGTTTGGCTAAACTGAGAAATGCAGACTTGCAGCAGCAAAGCAGTGGCTGAGCTCGTGCATTAACAAAATGGATGCTTCTTTTTTTCTTTTTTGGTAGAAAGGATATATATATGTATAAAAAACAGTCATTACATTAGTAGAGTGGTGACCATTCACGTTAGGGTCACTAAGTACACTTAAGTTAAAAAAACTAGACAGATTACTACAAGTAGAGATAGTTATTAGTAGTGCCCATTCCTTCCTGGTCAGCCTGCATTTCCTTATCAACATAGTGCAGCGGAGATGAGAAGATAGGCTGATGGTTGGATAGAACTCCCTTAGATGCTTGTTGAGCCAAAATGTTTGCCACTTTATTGCCCTCACGGAAGCAGAGGTGGATCACTAGATTCCCCAGTTTCTTCAACAGGAACCTGCATTCGGAGATTATAAAATCATATGTATGCTCCAGAAGCTGAGTTACATCTGTAGAGTCTGTTTCGATTATTAGTGATGAAAGGTGATGCTCCACTGCCAGTTACAGTCCCTGTTTGAGTGCCAGCAATTCCATATGAGTAGCATTGTAAGCATAAACAGCCATTGCAGCACCTACGATCCAATTACCTTCCGAGTTTCTAACAACTCCTATAAGCCCACCAAGAAGTTGAGAGTTTTTAAATGATCCGTCAATTTTAAGCTTAAGAGTTACTAAGGGAGGGGGGAACCAAATAATGAGGATGGACAACTGGTTGTTGGAGTTTTGGCGGGTGGATTTGAGTTATTTAAATTCCAACGAGCGGTTGAATACAAGTGAAGAAGGCAAGGTGTTGGTTAAGTTATTGAAGATATTGTTATTACGGTTTAACCAGAGGTGCCATAATGAGAAGGGGAAGAAGTTGATCCAATCAAGTAGCACCGTTCCGAGAGGAGATTAAAGATCACGAAGAATTATTAGCCAGGAATCTGATGGATAACAGGTATGAACAGCGGAAGCAAATAGCCAGGATCACTTGCATGTAATATAGACAACACATAATCACAGATTTTAATCGAACATAAAATCGATACTTATCTCTTGAAGCGTGACCGCGATCGCGAGAAGCCTCCAAGCAAGAACGAAACCGTCCACGAGATCATCCTCCAGTTCCACAGTCTTCTGCTGTGTGACCCGAATAATGCCTGGAAGTAGCGAAATTCGTGTGGGCGAATTTTTCCTAGGAAAAGCATGTAGTAAAAACCTTGCCTCCTTATGGAATAAGACTTCTTTATATAGCCACAGGTTTTAGGGTTTAAAACCCTTTTCCTAAACCTGTTGGGTCTTCCTTTTCCACCAAGAAATAGAATTCCATTTAATTCCTAATTATTCGGGCACAGCAGGGACCGCAGTATTTAATTAATGAGGCTTCCTATTATGGACTTAATTCGAAATATCCGAATTAATACTACCATAATAAATTACGAATTATTCCACTAGAAAATCGTAATGCACTCTTCAGTTCAATTTCGAAATTCTTCCATTAAATCTTATTTAACTCCCCATGTTAAGATTCAGATACTAATCAAATAAATTAAATTACTAACAATTTAATTCATTGATTATTTCCTTTAGACTTTCGCTTAACTTATTTCATGTGACGGATACAAAATCCACCTGCAGGGTTTACACATGAAAACTTATAAGCTTTTATAAAGGTGTATCATCAATCTCTAGACCGAGACATGGATTCCATTAACTAACTATTACTTTGCCAATGTATATTATTATTGTCCAATTTACCATGCTTATTGACCCACGAAAGAATCTCGCCTTTTAATAAATCAAAACAATAATAATATGCACAGCTAATAATAATTATATCAAGATTAAGAGTATAAGTACATTTAATGGCTAGAGAGTTTATTTTATTAAGTCAGTATAAAATACTTATCTTTACTTGGTCCGTTCAATACAATACAAAATGTACTAGCACAAGAAGTTGGAATTAAACCATTCCCATAATCAAGATAAATTATCTTTAATCTTGTGCTACAATCATTCATGATGGTTTGTCCAATTCCATCATTAGATTGTGAACATGATCTTTATACTTATAAGAACCGATGATTTAATCTTCCGTGTATCAGCTAAACTCTATACACTAAATCATCTACTATATAAGTAAATGACACAGACGAATATATGATCTATTTAAAACTTTATTAAAACTGAATAAGCAATTGTTCCATAATAATATTATATCCAAACCAAAATTCATGGTTAATAGTATATATCCCAACAGAATCTTGATGATTGAGGAATATGGAATTGTCAATTCCCACCTGTTCCGAGAATTGTTGCGCGATAGGGCATTGGATGAAGATATGATAAGTAGATTCCTTGGCGTTATTGCAAATGGGGCATGTGAGAGGGACGTTAATGCAGGTGATGAAGATATTTTCTAGTAGGGAGACAATCATGTTAGCATTGGCAAATAAAGAATCGGATTTTACTCAAGGTAGCAAGTTTCCAAAACCATTGGAAATTGGCAGTAGGCAGTGGTTGTGGATTAATAATGTTATAAGATCTGGAGTTGAAAATGCCATTTGGGCTGGGAAGCCATATGGGAATATCAGGTTGGCTTTGATTAGTGGATATAGAGAGTTTAGAGATTTTTTGACTAATTTCATCTGGGAGGTGAAGAGACAATTTTTGGCAATCTCAGTTTTCAACATACCAAAGGTCTGCCACTTTTTGTTGTTCAGTAGATTCCGTAAAGGGACGTTGTATGATGGAACGAAGGGGAGGTGTATTTGGAATCCAGGAGGAATGATGCAGGCTAATGTGTTTGCCATTACTCAGACAGCCCAAGCCTTGCGCGCAAACTTTCCAACCATGGACAATATTCTGCCAGATAAATGAACAGTTGGAAAAGTTTTCCCTACTACCGAGACAGTAACCCATAATGAACAAGGGTGGGTAAATAGCCTCCAAATGAGGCTAGCCAGAAGGCAGTGTTCTTATGGATGGATTTGTGGAGACCTAGACCTCCATGGTCTTTAGGTAGAGTAATCTTATCCCAGCTTAGGCAGTGAACCATTTTGCGAGTAGTATTTGAACCCCAAATGAAGTCACGTTGGATTTTGTCTATGGTCTTATAGACATTTTTGGGGAAATATATGTATGCATTGCATGGCATGGATAGGAATAGCATTGAGGGTAGTTTCTGCAAGAGTGGCTCTTCCTGCTAGTGAGAGGAAGTTGGTCCAACTGGCGAGTTTGTTCCTCATATTATCAATTATGTGTTGAAAATCAGCTGGCTTGGGCTTATGGTTTAGGATTGAAAAACCTAGGTATTTACCAAAAGAGTCCGTAGGGGTGATATTAAAAAGTTGGGATGGAGGATTTAATCAAAGAAGGGCAGTTTTTGGAGAATACAAGTCTAGACTTAGAAGGGGAGTCTTGGCGTAACTGGTAAAGTTGCTGCCATGTGACCAGGAGGTTACGGGTTCAAGCTGTGGAAACAGCCTGTTGCAGAAATGCAGGGTAAGGCTGCATACAATAGACCCTTGTAGTCCGGCCCTTCCTCGGATCCCGCGCATAGTGAGAGCTTAGTGCACTAGGCTACCCTTTTACAAGTCTAGACTTAAAGGTGTTAATTTTGTCCCGAAAGGGAACAAAAATCATTGAGACCGTGATTAGTCGTGTCAACTGATTTCATATTAGCATGAGCCATTAGCGTGAGGTTGTCGGCAAAAAATAAAATGAGACAGTTGAGGACTTTTCTTATTAGGGAGATTGGATCCCAAGCCATAAGATATACTTGATGGTCTATGCAGACTGAGAGCAGCTCCCTACATAAGATAGATATGGGGACATAGGATCTCCTTGACGAATGTCCTTAGTGGGTTTGAAGAATTTTATGGGGGAACCATTAACAAGGATAGCAATGCTGTTGCTGGATACACAACTCATTATGAGTTTAGTGATTTTGGGGGGAATTTTGAAATGAGTAAGAGCTCTACGTATAAAAGGCCATTCAAGCCTATCGAATGCCTTTTCCAAATCAATTTTGAGGATTAACTTGCCCTTAGCGCCATTGGTAGAGTTGAAGTGGTAGATAACTTCTTGGATAATAATGGTGTACGCTGCCCTTGTAGGAAGCTGGATTGACAGAGGCTGATCAATTTATGAAGAAAGGGCTTGATACAATTCACCATGACCCCAGTGATCACTTTGTCAATAATGTTGCAAAGACCTATCGGGAGGAAGTTATTTAGATTATTAGCATTGTAGAATTTAGGCACCAAACAGAGGAAAGTGTTGTTGACGGAATCGGTGATGGATAGAGAATCAAAGTATTTGTGGCAGTATCCAAGGATAGATTTTCCAACCACATTCTAGTGTCATTGGTAGAAGAATGGATGAAAACCATCGGGCCATGGAGCTTTGAAAGGTTTGAATGAAAAGAGTGTCTTAATAACCTCGTAATCACAAAGGAGACAATCAAGGCATGAGAGGTCAATGTTAGTGAAGGCAGTGGGAGGGGTGTTCAAATTCAGTCGAGGGGAGGAGTAATGATCAATGGTGAAAATACTTTGGAAATAGTGCAGGGTATGGCTAAGGAGTTTTTCATGATTGGTGATCCAATTGCCATGATCATCCTTAAAGAACGATATACGGTTGTTCCTACGCGTATTGATAACAGAAACGTGGAAGAATTTGGTGTTGGCATCTCCATCATTAATCCAATTAATACGAGAGCGCAACTTCCAATAATCTTCCACCATCTTGAGGATGTTGTTATAATCTCATTAATGAGATTATTTTCTAATTCTCTAAGGAATTGGCTGTAGGGGTAGTGGGAGGAGTTATTGATGCCTCTTAACCTAGAAAGAATTCTGTTTTTGTTGCCAAAAAGGTTGCAAAGTTAAGCCTATTCCATACCCCAATTTTTTGGTGAAAACAAGCATTGGCTTCCGCCAAATTTTTATTACACCAACTACCATGCAGGAGATTTGCGACTCGGGGTGTGTACACCAAAAACTTTCTAGACGGAAGGATCTTTTGGAGATGCGCCTATGTGAGGGTGTAACAGTGAATAGCAGGGGATTATGACCGGAATATGTTTTTGGAAGATGCACAACAATAGAGTCAGGATAATTTTCTAACCAAGCCTCATTAGCAAAGCAATGATCGAGTCGTTCTAGAATAAGTCCATTCCTACGATGTGTATGGTTAGACCAGGTATACCGATTTCCCTTAAATCCTAAGTCTAATAAGTGGCAGTGGTTAATGCAAGATCAAAACCTATTAGATCTATTCCGAACAAAATGGATTCAATGCTTCAAAAACGTGTGATATTACCACAAGAACAATCTACCCAAAGGCATAGGATGGGGCTTTCTGTTTTATTCTTGCTTGTGTAAAGGTTATTACTTGATAGGTAGCCCTAATGGTGAGGGGCTTTGACTCTACATATACTCATCACGTTTGACAGATAGTCAGATACATAATCCACTTCTATAGAAGGAAAACAATATATTGCAGCATTAAATAAATGTAACAAAGCATTTAAACAAAATCTACAAAAATTAATGTGCATTTCTGGTTTGTGCGACAGTGCCAATTTATCAAATGAAGAGATAACACATGCTATCAACCTCAGTAGTTTTCCGAAGGTGCTACCTATAATTATTTCTCGGAACTCGATCATCAGAGACTTTAATAACTCCCACCTAAAGAGTCTTACTCTTATTCTTACACTTAAAACATATTTTTCTAGGTAGAATGGAAAATTGAAAGCACTCAAAAGATGGGTTTAGTTAGACAAAACAAAACACCCTCGCCCAAAATAAAAGATAAATCTAATTAAAATTGTGATTCTTAAATTATATGAGAGAAGGTAAGTCCTGACTGAGCAATAAAGAATGAAATAGCTTTGAGGCATAGAGAATACCTTTTTCTAGCACTACCATTGAAGCATAATAGTTGTTGCACCATAGATGCTAAGTATTAAATGATAGCTTGGGAACTAAACATAATAACCATCACAGCTGCTTGCTTATAAATGAAGAAGGCTCTTCTTTGCAAATTCAGGAAGTTCCGTTATGTAGCTCTAGAGGTGACGATCTTGAACATAGCGTAAACCACAGTACTTGCATACTGCATGCTCTTCCAGATCAAGGCATATAAACTCAATTGAATGCCTAAGAGCAGGATTAGTATCTGTATCAGAAGAAAAGAGAATATGGATTTGTAACAGAATTATCTTTAAGCAACTGATAAACATTTTTTTTAAAACCAACACTGTTACCTCCTTCACAGGCTGTATCCTGCCCTGAGCTTTGGTACGTGGAACTTTATTAATCAATTCCATTGGAGATTTCTTGCTAGTAGTGATTGTTGGAGTTCTTTTAACAAGATATGCTACCCGACCACAGAAGAAGTTGAGTTTAGGACCTTAAAGGATAATCGACTAATTTAGGCAGTAAGGTATACTGGAAACTAAGAACGATAATCCGCTATAGGGCTCATTCGTCAAAGCAAATAAGTATTGTGTCAACTCATATCTAGAGAAAAGAAGAATGGATACGGATATAGCAAAGACTAATGGAAGTCAAAGATAGAATAGAAGTTAATTGCAAAACTGATAAAGAAAACATTTCTGTCAGGGAAAATGGGTACCTTAACGGATGAGTTGCGCCACATTCATTTCTGCCTGATCCAGGCGCAGCCCACTCGGTCCATTCAGCCCAATAGCCCATTCACCTACTTAGGGTTGAAGATATTTATTTTTTTTGTATGTGATTTTACCAATTTACTCCTGGCTTGCATATAAATATATTGTGTTATCTGTGAATTATGGTGATGGATTCTCAGTTTCTTTACCCTAATACGCCGCCCCACTCTCCATTTCCCTCTTCTAACTTTCTAAATCTTCTTTGGCCTCTTCATGTGATTTCTGATTTTCTGTGTTGAATCTGAATAGATCTAATATCTCTTATCAACTATGAACCAAGATAGAGAGTACTGTGCTTTCCGGAATCCTAGTTCTACATGGAACTTCTCAACCAACCTTGCTTGAAATCAAATATAGGAAGCATAGAGATCTATCCTTCACCAATAACAGAATCTAGTACAAGAATCTTCCTTATTCGCTATCACAATCTCAATCTCATCTATCTTCTTTTCCCAAAGAGTTTTATCTTTTCTCCTCTCTGGCCCACGTAATTGATACTCCATTAAATAGAAACTTTTGAAGGCGAGTTGAAGAATTAGAACAAGATGCAAGCTTTCCTGAAGGGAATTACCTCACTTCCAATTGCTCCATTCATATGATACATGGATGGAATCTGGATAGAGATTGGGCTATAAGTCCAGTTCCATGGAAAGTGAGGTAGTGATACGGAGGAACAAGGAGCATGCATATTTGGTATGACAGGAGATGCTGTACTTTCTAGAATTGCTGCTGGAATCCAGCAGGAAAATAATTCCTGGCAATAATGGCAGGTGGTATGTAGTTGATTCATATGCTAAAACTGTTGTTGAACTTCCATCAGAGAAAAAATTCTTTTCCTACTGGATTCTAGCAACAATTCTAGCAAACACAGAGGCTTTAGGCATTCCAAACATGCATGCTCTTGTTCCTCTATATCACTGCCATATTCCCCATGAAACTGAACTTACAGCTCAATCTCCATCTAGGTCCCATCTATGCATCCTGTGAATGGAGAAATTTGAAGTGAGGTAATTCCCTTCAGGATAGCCTTCAGTTTTTACAGATTAGTCTCGCTTTCGGAAGCTGAGAGAGTACATACAAGAAGAACATGGTAAACTCTAATTTCGCAGTTCAACTAGTGAATCGCACCTCAAGGTTAATGAGCTGGGTTTTCGTGTTAAATTAGCCCCAATCCCCCCTTTCTTACATGATATCACAACTAGACTCGTCTCAATTCTGATGGCTCCCAAAGTTATGTTGTCCATACTCCAGATGTCTAGCCCTAGGCACGCAGGGGTCGTTAAGCATCTCTCATTAGTTGGGAGTATGGATTGTAGTCTCCTTATGTGGTACTGAGCAACCTCACTTAATAAGATACGTAAATAATGGAGCAAGGCATTGGACTGACTCCTCATATAATGACTAGGGAAATGTCGCCATCTTTTCTTTGATCTGTGGTTCTTTTGACCTAAACTTTCATCTCTTTCTGTGTATAGAATTATAAAGATCGCTACTTATTTCTTCACATCATCTTCATGATTCTGTTTCAAAGGGAACAGTAAAGTTGGATGGAGTAATCTCTTATGCTATAATCTCTTCTACGATGACACCAACTCTTCTTCATTGGCACTTTAACCATAAAGCAAAAATTTGATCAGTAATTAATTTCTTCTTTAGTGGAATAATACTCCAGCCATATTAATATCTGCACATGCATAACCTTACAAGCGGTCAAAGAAATTATACTGCAGATACAGCTTATCTGATTTCTAATCAATGCTTCCTTTCTAGCTTCATGCACTCTCATCTGCTGTCATTAACCTTTAGTTTCCTTTTCAACCCTTCAAATCACTAAAAGAGACTATAAAGAGATCTCCTTCAAATAAAATACTAAAATACACATAGCTAGCTGCTTGGGTAATAGCTTTTGGTTTTCACAAACTTTATTATCCTGGCCGTTTTTCCTATAACTAATTTTTTCACCTGGTATTTTCCATAACTAAATTTTAGATTAACTTTTGCATTTTACCTTATACCATATTGCATGAAAAAGCTTTTTGAGCAATCAGTCGATTTCTCTTACTTATGCAGGTGGCATACAGTCGAATGCTTTGTCAAGTTCTCTCCTACACTTATCTCCAATGATTAAAAAAAGAAAAGAAGAAAAGGCAGCCCGGTGCACTAAGCTCCCGCTATGCACAGGGTCCGGGGAAGGGCTGGACCATAAAGAACGGCAAAATAGAGTGAATCAGATCTTCACTAATACTCTCATCCTTGAATATCTACTTTTGTGGATACAAGATCCTCATTGTTTTTATAACAGCAAATGAAGCTAAGCAATGTCCCGCATGAGCAGAAAAAGTAGGATGCAGTTACGCACAGGAAGAATGTAAATTTCATTCAGATACATTCCTTAAGCATTTATTCAAGCAGAAACTTTAAGCACAAATCCCTTACTTGAGCAATAATTTTGAGTATATGTTTAAAACAAGATTTACTCATTTACAATATAAGTTTCAAATGTGATATACGCAAGGCATAATCACGATGCAATTTGCATATATATTCAACATCCGCTTGTTTCTGCAACTGATACAAAAATTACCATGAAAGTACTTACACAGCATCCTAATAATAACTTTAGAGATCAATTCTTACCCATACATACATATTTGCCCGTTGATAACTATATGAGCTTGAAACAAGATAGGTAATATCTGAGAAATTCATGAGGCCAAGTGACACATGATTTGAAACTCGGTGGATAATTGGTCCGCCTCTTTACCCTTTCTCCACTTAAATACCTGGATTTGTAAGGTTCCTATAACATGCACCTAATCCACACATCACAAGTTGTGCTCCTACCAGGGCAAGATAGGTAAAAGACTATAAAAGGAGGATAAACAAAAAAAGATAGTCCTTTTTCTTCTTTGGGAAAAATTATAATTCAGATAATAATAAAAGAAATGCTCCCCTTAGTTAAATTATTTTAAAATTAGACTTGTTTATGAGTTCCCCTCCAAGTATCTACTTTAGTTCTGCTTATGTCTCGAGTTTCAGAAGTACTTTTGACGTGAGGGAAAGTGCATATAATTCAAAAGTTGAGTAAATTGTGGAAACGGTTATTCAGTACAAAAAAACGTGAAGCAAAGCAACAATGCATGCTCTTAATCACTTTCAGCTACTTGTCTGGTTGGTCGCAATCACAATGGAGAACATTGAAACTTAGAAAGGTTAATTTTTTAATTTGGATATCTATGTATCAATAAGCTAGGGCATAACAAATATTCCGATACATGCAACTCCAAATTGACCTTTACCAAAAAAGAAGAAAGAAAAAGTGGTAAACAGGTAAGTGAAGCAAAATTTCTTCAATCATCAACTTTGTTCTGACAAATATTTTGAGGAAATTTGCTACCTGCATCCACTTGGCCACGTGGGTGGTGATGACATCACTGCTAACGACTTGTCGAATTTTGAAGATGCTCCGGTAAGGGTTTTTTAGGATATTCGTTGCGATTGACATGCCCGGTTCCTTCTGAATGCCGCCATTGTTGTATAGAGATATTCCAAAGTCCAAAGAGAAGAAATAACTACAACCAGTAGAAGCGCCCCCGTGGGTTTGGTGGGAAAAATGTTTTCATGTTGTAGAAAATGTTTTGCCTTTGATTACGCTTTTTCTAAAACCATTTCTCGGCTTTTGTCAGATGGAAAAATTTGAAGAAAAAAGATATGAACACGTGATAGATGTGAAGATTTATCATGATGATATTTTATTGGATTAAAGAGAAAATACATAAATTGTCAATAAAACTTGTTGGGAAAAATCATTTACACACCTTAACTTTACGGGTCACATATGTCCTCATATTCTTGTTTGGGGTGAATTTAATACCCCATTGATAACACTTAGTCAGTTTTGTGGTGGTGGGATGTGTAGTACGTGCGCGCCACGTGTCAAAAGCTACTTTATTTTTTTCCACTTATTTAATTACTTTTTTAAATCAAATTTCATCCAAACTTCATCAAAATCAAATTTTTCAAAACAAATTTGAAAATCTATGGCCAAACGCTAGCTTAAAGTTGGTGATAATCGTGAGTTCTCAGGTTCTAGATAAGCCAAACAATGAATGATACTATTCGAACAAAAGATCATCAATAGCAATAACTAATAAGCTAAAAATCCATACAATTACCCCAAGGATGGTACGACAAGTCATGAGCAATTAAAAATTTAGATTTACAATCTTTTTGAATATACATAAGCAGAGTACAAATCCTGAATTACCAAGAACAATTGGTAGCTTATATTTGGAATACAGGTACATCTTCAATACTGGCCTTCGTCATTCACAACGGCTCAGCTCCAAGATCTACATGCAAGGTGTAGAAGTGTAGTATGAATACAATCCACCCTATGACTTAGTAAGTACCATGACTATCCTCGGTGAAGTAGTGACGAGGTTTTAGGTCAAGGATACTTACTTTACATAACATGTACAGCTCAATAACATATACATATGCTTAGCAACAGTATCGAAATCTAAGCTTGAAGATCGGATAAGGCAATCAATGCACATAGAGAACATATGCACAAGCATTTTAACCAACTAACAGTTCAACATATAAAGAAGATACGCATTTGATATCACATAATACGTTAGTAATTGCATATAGAGAAGATATACACATGTATCATTGTGATGACCTTTGAAAGTAAATTATGCATTCTGAGGCCTTAAAACCTCTTTCGGCATTACCTCGATTTGCGTGCACAGTCCGGGCGCGTAGCCGGAAAGCCATTATGTGAAAATCTCTGAAACAATGATGAATTTTGACTTTAAAATAGATTTAAGTTGACTTCGGTCAATATTTTGGGTAAACGAACCCGGACCATAGGAAAATATAGGACTTGGGCGAATGCCCGGAATCGAATTCCGAGGTCTTAAGCCCGAGAAATGAATTTTGAAGAAAATTATTTTTTGGAATATTTATGAGTTTTTGAAAATGAATTTAAAACTTGATGGTATCGGGCCCGTATTTTGGTTCCAGCTCCCGATACAGGTCTTATATGTGATTTAAGATAAGTCTGTGAAATTTAGTAATAAACGGACTTGAGATGACATGAATCGGATCGTATTTGAGAAAATTGGAAAATTTGAAATTCTTAAGAAATTTCATGATTTTGATGTTAAATTCATAGTTGTTGATGTTATTTTAGTGATTTGAATGCACGAGCGAGTCCGTATGATATTTTTAGGTTGGTGTGCATGTTTGGTTTGGAGCCCCGAGGGCTCGGGTGTATTTTGGATGGGCCACGGGGTGGATTTTGGACTTGAGAAATTGCAGGCTTCAGCTGTTTCATTGCAGGCCTGCAGGCTTCGCATTTGCGAAGCATGACTCGCAAATGCAAAGGCTGAGTTGCAAAGGCGAAATAGCCCAGGCCAGCCCTTCCTCACAAATGCGAGATTTTCCTTCACAAATGCGATACTCTCCATTTGGCCATGTTATCGCAAATGCGATTGTATGTTCGCAATTCCGACCTCACAAATGCGAGGGTCACTTCGCAAATGCGAGCTTAACAAAAGTTTGGGTTCGCAATTGTGATATTTGCGACCTGCAATTTTATAACTTAGCCGAAAATCTTTCATTTTTCACACTCTTTCAAAACCAAAACACTCTTGGGCGATTTTTAAAAGATAACTCTTCTTACAAATCGATTGTAAGTCAATTTTAACTCGTTTTCTTCAATCATTAACATCTTTTCACATGATTTCAACTCAAAATTAATGATTTTCATGGGGGAATTGGGTGTTTTGGGTAGAACCTAGGTTTTTCAAAAATTGGGGATTTGGACCTTGATTTGAGGTCCGATTTCAAAATAAATTATATATTTGAGTTCATAGGGGAATGGGTAAGCGGGTTTTCGTTCGAACCTCGGGTTTTGACCATGTGGGCCCGAGGGCGATTTTTGACTTTTTGGGTAAAACTTTAGAAAACTCATTTTTATGTATTAGAATTGATTCATTTAGCATTTATTGATGTAATTAAGTAACTTGTGGCTAGATACGAGCGAATTGGTGGTGGAATCAAGAGGTAAAGTGATAGTAGAGACTTGAATTGTATTTGTGACATCGAGGTAAGTGTTTGGTCTAACCTTAGCTTGAGGGATTAGGAGTCGAGTCCTATTTGCTATATGGTATATGTTGAGTACGACGTATAGGCATGGTGACGAGTATCTATATGTTGGTGTCAAGCATGCCCGTGAGTCTTATACTGTGATTATTATGACTTCGTTGTATTATTCATGCTTTGGTGATGATTTCTATTGTTGGGCAAAGTTTGTGGAAGTAATTGTGACATTTGAACATTGAGGAGTGTTGGCTGAAGTTGTATAATGAAATGTGAAAGTATAAGTGGTAATTGAACCTTTTAGAGCATTGGCTCAAGTTGTGAAGTGAGTTTAGAAGTAAAAGTGAAAAAGCGAAGAGAATCATTATATTATCTCCCTTGCCGGGAATTTGTTGCTTTTAATGTTATCTCTCTAGCCGGGATGTTGATACTTCTTATGATGTTGTTCCCTTGTCGGGACTTGATCGTTGAACTATTATTCTCTTGTCGGGATTCTTATTGTAATTTCATTTATTCTCTTGCCCTATTGTTTGTGATTGTTGCTTGGGTGAGGAAGAGTGTAAAGCACGAAGGGTGATGCCGTGTATTATTTTGGTGAGAGAGTGTTAAAGCACGAAGGGTGATGCCGTGTATGATTTTGTGAGGAAGAGTGTAAAGCATGAAGGATGATGTCGTGCCGCACGATGTACAATTCCGTGCCGATTATATTGATTTTATAGTGAGGATGAGAGTAAAAGCACGAAGGGTGATGTCGTGCACTTTATATTAATTCCTATGGTGAGGACGAGAGTAAAAGCACGAAGGTGATGCCGTGCACTTGTCCTTGATTTTCCTGATTCTTGCTGATAATTGAGTTATGTTGTCCTTTACATTTATTTACTGATTTTCTGTTGTTACTTGATTTTATTTTGATGTTATAGATTCCCTTACCCTATTTGCCTTGTGATTGTTACTTGGGTGAGGAAGAATGTAAAGCACGAAGGGTGATGTCGTGTATTATTTTGGTGAGAGAGTGTTAAAGCACGAAGGGTGATGCCGTGTATTGTTTTGGTAAGAGAGTGTTAAAGCATGAAGGGTGATGTCGTGTACTTGTCTTCGATTTTCTAATTTTTATAGATAACTGAGTTACTATTACTCTACATTTAATTGTTGGTTTCCTGTTGATACCTGTTGTACCCTGCAACATGATCCCCACTTCCTATTTTCAATTGAATTGTGGTGATCCTCATATTTATTTGTTGTTCTTCTGTTATTATTTGATGTCCCCACAACATGTTACCCCCTCCCATACTTAAATGTACATTATTGTTCATCTTTTCCGTTGTATATGATTTAACTGCACAGGTTTATTTGGTAGTCTGGTCCTAGCCTCGTCACTACTTCGCCGAGGTTAGGCTAGGCACTTACCAGCATATAGGGTCGGTTGTGCTGATACTACACTCTGCACTCTTTTGTGCAGATCCCAGTGCTATAGACTTCGGACCGCAGTGAGATTGTTGTTTCTTGTTCATCAAGCAACCCGAGATAGTCCTGCAGGCGTCCACAAGCCTTGGCGTCTCCTTCTATCTACTATTATTGTTTCTTTCATGTATTTTTAGAGATAGTGTTGTATTTATTTCTTTCAGACCTTTATTTGTAGCACTCCTAGACAGTCTGTGAAGTTGTGACACCAGTCTTGGGTAGATTTGTTATGGATTGGTATGAGTAGTATTATTAAATCTTTACAATGCAGTCTTCCGCTTATTCAATTCTGTTGTTATCTAATCGTTAGCTCTAAACTATTATCGGATTAAAAATGGAAACACGGTAAATAGTTTAGTTGGTTGGCTTGCCTAGCTTTCACTTGTAGGCGCCATCACGACTCCCGAGGGTGGGAAATCTGGGTTGTGACAAGTTGGTATCAGAGCTCTAGGTTACATGGGTCTCACAGTTCAGAGACAAGCTTAGTAGAGTCTGAGGGATCGGTATAGAGACGTCTGTATTTATCCCAGAGGCTATAGAATTAGGAAAAACTTCACATCTATTCTTTCATGTCGTGTCATTTTGCCCTTTCAATGCTAAATTGAAACCTCTACTCTTGTCCTTCCACGAATGGCGGGGTCACGTACCACTTCTTCAGCCGAACAACAGCACAGACTGGTTTTAGATCAGCTATATCTTAGAGGCTTTACGGAGGTTGGATAGGTTTCACTTGCTCTTCTCTACCACTTTCAGCGGTGCATCTTCTGAGGATCCCCGGGATTATCTAGACAGTTGTCATGAGGTTCTCAGGAACATAGGGATAGTGGAGACCAATGGGGTCGACTTTGCTACTTTTCGCTTGTCTGGATCCGCCAAGACTTGTTGAAGAGATTATTGTTTGGCTAGACCAGTTAGGTCATCAACTTTGACTTGGGATCAGTTTTTTCAGCTATTTCTGGAGAAGTTTCATCCTATCACTCAGAGAGAGATCTACCCGAGGCAGTTTGAGCATCTCCAACAAAGTTCTATGACCAGGTTTAATGATTTGACCCGTCATGCTCTTCTTATACTTCCACTGAGAGAGAGAGTGACGAGGTTCATTGAAGGACTCGTTCAT